GGTGGCAGGCGCCTCGCCCGCCAGAAAGTTTCCCAGGAGTTGGCTGAGAGCGGGCCGGACCATGAACGTGTTTCGTATCCTGGGCGACCTGAGCCACCTCCTGGCTATGATTTTGCTACTGGGGAAGATCTGGCGCTCCAAGTGCTGCACGGGTGAGGGGCGATGCGGGCGCGAGGTGGGGCCTCGGGGGCGGAGGGCCAGCCACACGCCCCTGCTGCAGGGCTTACGGGGAGCCTCCTGAATGTCTGTTGAGGGTGGGCACTTCGGCTTGGGGGTGCTTGAAACTGTTTTCGCGTAGCTCAGCTTCCAAAGAAAACTTAAAATTGTACCATATCACAGAAAAAGGATCCGCGGAAGTCAGGAGGGAGGATGGGCTTCCCCCTCCCTCCCCTGCTTGGCGTTGCCACTGCTAGTTGGAAGAGGAGGGGGATAAGGAGGAGGTGACACCCCCTTTGCTGCCCAGGAGCAGCATCCCTTGGGGCCCTTTGTTCTCTCTGCCCCCACCCAGGGTGGGGACCGGGGCGCGGGGGAGAAGGAGCTGCACACACAGGAAGCGGCTCCAGACCCTCAAGGTCTTCTTTTTTCCTGCCCCCACCACTCTCCCCTCCCCCTCCCAGACTTCCCCCCTCCCCGCAAGTTGGGCCCTCTTTCCTCCCCAGCCTGTGCCTCAGGCGGCTATGATGTGGCAGGAGGGGCACCAGCCAGGCCCAGGTGGGCATGGAGCTGCCCATGAGCAGAAGCCCAGGGAGGGCGGGAGGGCGTCCCCCTTTTGCCCAGCAGTCTGGCCGCCCTGCTAGGGGGTTGGAGAAGTTTCAGGGCTGGACTGGCGGTGGCCAAACAGACCCCGTGTATTAAGAGGCTGCTGAGCTGCCTGCAGCCATCTCTGTCCACTGGTGTCCTGGAGGCGCCTGCCCTGTGCTTGGCACTGGGGTGAAGGGTTACAGAGAGGTGCCCAGGCTCCTTGTGGGCGCCAAGGAGGCAGAGTGGACCCCTGAAGGCTTCATGGAGGGAGCAGCTCTGTGCTGGGTCCTGGAAGACGGGCAGGGTGTCACCCAGGAAGGGTGTGTCATGTCACAGAGGGCAGGGCATGTCCCAGGAATGGTGAGCAGCCCAATTTCGGGGTGGTCCGGGAGGGAGATGAGTCCAGGGGGTGGGTGGTCATATGTGAAAGGGCCTTGTCTGTCAAGTAGGGAGTTGGGACTGGGAGCCAAGGAAAGCTGGGGAGCAGGGGATGGGCTCGGAGGGGACCCTGGAAGCTGTGTGGGGAGGCTGAGAGAGGAAGCAGAGAGCGTCGGGGAGGCTGCCGGCCCAGGGGGCTTGCTGGGGGGGAGAGGTGGGTGCCTGTGTGAGGGTCATTGCAGAGGGAGTGATTCCAGACCTGGAGGCCATTCGGGTTTGGGGTCTCCAGGGAAATGGGCACTCACGGGCCCTCAGGTTCCCACTCAGGGGAAGTGGTCCAGGAGCCCTGAGAGGGGCTCCAGTGAGAGGAAGAATCTAGGTTGGACCTGTCCCTGCCACTGGAGGGCCCTGGACGGGGTGAGCAGCCGTCACCAGGAGGGGGCTCTGTTCCCCATCCCACTCTGCCAGGCATTGTACCGGGCACCTGGGATATAACCGGGCAACAGGCAGAGATCCTGGCCTGGTGGAGCTGAATCTATCAGTGGGAGACCGCCAACCAGCTACAGTGGTAGCAACCGAGTAAATGATACGGTTTGTCAGGGAAGCGAAGTGCTACAGGAAGAGGAAAGGGAGGGTGAGCAGTGGGGCCTGTGTGTGTGCGGAGAGGAATCAGCACAGGCCTGGTTGAGAACGGAGCCGGTGAGGTTCCTGGATGCCGCCCGTCAGCCCCGAGGAGCAGGGCCTGGTGTGACACCCCTGTGACCCAGCCCCGAAGGCAGGAGACTGGAGCTTCATTCTTGCTCTGCCACGGACTCACTGTGTAACCTTGGGCCCCAGTTTTCCCATCTGTCAAATGGCAGGAGGTCTGTACCTGGCCAGTGGGTCCCCTGAGGGACTCTGGCCAGGTACTGGCTCCTGTTCTTCTCTGTGTCCTGGGGTCTCCATGCGCAGCTTGCTTTGGTGGAAATTATTCACTGCTTTCAAAACAGTGTGAAAAAAACATTGTGCTCAAGACCTCCAGGGCTCCCAAAGAGCTAAGGAAAATGTGAGTGAAGCCCAGGGGCCTGGCAGGCTGGGGATGGAAAGAGGGGAGGAGTGGGGAAAGGCCGAGTGAGGGGGTAGCCAAGCATCCCCCACTAGAGCCGCCTGGACCCTCCTGAATGGGGCTGAGGACCCCCCTGGCCAGACCTCAGTGAGGGCTCAGCGATATGGCATAACGAAAGGCATAGCTCCGAGCTGGATCAGTATTGCCTCCTGGACTCCGACCCCCTCCCCCAGGGGGCTCCTTCACCCACAGCCAGCCCCACTGCCAGACCCCCAGGGAGGCACTCGGGTTCTCATTGAATCCTATTTAGTCCTCACGTCAGTCCTGCGCCATTTTACAGTTGAGGAGTATGAGGCTCAGTGTTGCCATACTGGTAGGAAAGCTGGCAAGTGGACCCAGCCCTCTCCAGAATATTAGGGGCTTCAGCGGTGTTCATCCTCAGTCGTTAGAATTGTCCCCTCTCCCCAAAATGTCCCTCACCAGAGGAGTAATTAGAAAAGGCACAGATCAGGCGTACAAAGGAGTCAGACCCTGAATCCGGTTATGTCACTTCTTGGTGTCAAACTCCCCAGTAGATCCATCATAGTTAGAATAAAATCCAGGGGTGAGGGGACAAAGGTGTGAGAGGCTCAAGGATGGCTCTTGGTTTTCTACCTTGAGCACAATGGGGATGATGGTGACAGAAGGAGGACAGAAGACAGGAGAAGGGGAGGTTCAAGGGGGAGATGGTGGATTTAGTCAGGCAGGAATATATAGGTCAGAGATCCAAGGAGAGTCTGGAGCCAGAGGGTCCCTTGTGTGTGGGATGGGATGGCAAGGGGGCAGAGGGAGAAGAGAGGTAGCCCTCTGAGGATTAGGTGTTGAGGAGGACGGGAGTGGCCAGAGGAGGTGAGAAGCCGGCAGTGTGGACAGTCACAGAAGCCTGGAGAAAGGTGTGGTTGGGATAGACGGAGTGCTCAGCTGGCTCTTGAGGAGTTGGGTGGGTGAGATAGAGTTGACGTTTGGATGCAGAAACGTGGGCATCAGGGACCATGGGAGTGGTTTGGTGTAGTATCCAGACTGCTGTGGGCTTAATGGGGCAAGAGAAATGGGAGGCAGGGCAACTGCTCGCTTTTACCCAGGAACCACCTCCATGATGTATCAAAAGTGGGCAAAAGTTGACTAAGGAGCATGATGGCTAAATGTAGCCTCGATTCCTGGATTAGATCCTGGAACAGAAAAAGGGCATCAGTGGGAAAACGTGAAAAGTCTGGAGTTCAGTCAATAGTGCTATACCAATGTCAGTTTCTTAGTTTTGGCAAATGTTCTGTGATTGTGCACGGTGTTACCATTAGGGGAAGCTGGGTGAAGGGTAGGACTCTCTGTACTGTCTTTACAACTCTTCTGTAAATCTAAAATTGTTTCAAAATAAAAAGCTTAAAGAGACCAAAGCAGATGAGGAAATAGCATGGAAAGTACAAACCCAGTTTTGTCAACTTGATGCGTCCAAATGTGTCATATGTGTGCACATATGTGTTGTGTGTATGTGTGCACCAACAAAGATCTGGAAGATCGCACACTCAGACTTTGGGATTCAGGTGATTGTTGCTTTTTAATTTACATCTCTATGTATTATCTGGTTTTTGTTTTACAATGAGTAAAAATAGTCGTAAGTTTTATAACTAGAAAAAAAACTTTTTTAGTCTTTAAAATTTGGAAAAATAAAATAGAATGCTCCCTTGGCCCTGTGCCTTCCTCCACCTGCTGTGGTCTCCCTGGTGAATCAGCACCTTGTAGAGTCGGTGAGTTGTTCTCTAAAAGATGGAGATCTGGGGATTGTCAGTGGAACCCTGGGGGTAGAGCAAAGAGGAGCCTTGACACTTACCCCCTGCAAGCCTGACTCCCCCCATCCCCACGCCCTCCCCAGAGCAGGAACCAAGGCAGGCACGCACAGGGGCCCTGGGAACTTGGTGTTCATGTCTTGATTTGGAGACTGGGTGACAGATTACAGCCTAATGAGAGTAAAACACTCAAGTGACCCAATGGGAAGGGGTGTTTCCTGGCCCTCTGAGGGTGACAGTGTCCTGGACAGGGTGTCATTATGAAGTGGACACTCTGGAGGCCTTTCCAACTCAGGCTCTGGGCTTCTCGAGTGTGTGTGAGCCTGGCCGTCTGTGTTCTTATTGTCTCCTGTCCCCATCCGGCGGCTACAGGCATCTCCGGGAAGAGCCAGATACTTTTCGCTCTCGTCTTCACCACCAGGTACCTGGACCTGTTCACCAACTTTATCTCCATCTACAACACAGTAATGAAGGTAAGGGGGATGGGCAGCCATGGTGGGGAGCTGCCAAGCAACCCCCAGACGGTGAGACAGCATACTTGGGGACTCAGGCTGTGGAGCCAGGCAGACCTGGATTTGAATCCTGGCTTTGCTGTTAGCAGCTGTGGGACCTGGGCTTGGGCAAGTCTTCTGGCCTCTGTGCACCTTGGTTTCCTCCTCTACAAAATGAAGAATAGGTGTACTTACCTCAGAGGATTTTGTTGTGAAAGTTAAACGAGGTAATAAATGTAAATACACAATAGCTGTCATATATTAAAAACTCAATAATGGTTAGCTATTATAATGGTTAAAAAATAAGCAAAAAATCAAACACAGTACGCTGAGCTTTCAGAGAAATTGTTTGTCCATTTATCTGACAATTATTTATTGAGCACCTACTGTGAGCTAGGTACCTGAAGGAGACATATGCGGCGCCTATACTCACAGAACCTACAGATGATAAAACAAGTAAGAAAAACTGGTTAGGGATAAGGCTATGCAAATAAGTAAAATAGGATGATGTTTCCTTCAATTATAACGAAAGAAGTTTTAAAAACAGGGTTACGTGATAGAGAACGACTAGGGAGCTATTTAGGGAGTGTCATCAGGAAGGGCCTCTCCAAAGAGGTGACGTGTAAGCTGAGATCAGAGTGACACAAGGATTAAGCTCAGAGGAGGAACATTCTAAGCAGATGGAATCGCTGATGCAAAGACCCTCAAGATAGGAACAAGCTTGGTGTATTCAAAGGACATACAGAAGGCAGGCACGCTGGGAGCTCAGCAGGCGAGGGCTACCTGCTGGTGGTAGGGGTGCCGATAGAGGGCTGGGTGAGGGCAGATGATCCAGGTGAACAGTTTGGATTTGGTTTTGCCATGGGAAGCTGTTGCTTTGAAGCTTGGTCCTGTTTTATAGACGGAGAAACAGCATCTCTCAGCCCTGGGCCATAGCTGTGAGGTTTGGTTAGGATGAGACATTTTCTGAGATTTTAACCAACCATCCAACACAGTTTAGTGGAAGGAGCCCAGGTTTCAGAGTCAGTAAAGTGGGATGTAATGGTTTGGATGCTGGTAACAGAGACTTGAGTTATTTTAATAAGGTAAGGATTTATTTGTATCTCATTCATAACACAAAATCCGGAAGTGTGTAGTCTAGGGCCGGGATGGCATCTCCTTTTAACTTTCTGCTCTGCCAGCTTTAGTGTAACCAGCACTTGAGCTTGTTACCTGTGCAGTTGCTCAGAAGGGCCCTATGCTTGGTTTAATGCTTTGCTGTTGCCATTTTGAAATACTTATTTTTTAACAAGAAGCCCTGCAAATGATATAGCTAGTCCTGAATGTGATATCCATCCTCAGGTTTGCCTCAGAGTCACAAAATAGGTGCTAGAGCTCCTACCATCACATCACATTCAGGACAGGAAGGAGGAAGAAGGGGAGAAAGAGCAATAGGGTGCCTGTCAGCCGGGTAAGCCCTTTTTAAAGAGCTTTCCAGTGACTTCCATCTACATGTCACTGACCATCCTTATCTGCAAAGGAGGCTGGGAAATTAGTTTTTAGTTGGGCACATTGTCTAATAGGAGTCCTGTTTTTAAGGAAAAAAGGCTACATGGGAGGAATCCTACCTATCTTGCAGGGCTATTGTGAAGATGACATGAGATAATCTGTGTAATGTACCTAGCACCCAGAAGATATTTAACTGAAAGTGAGTTCTCTTTCTCTATATCAGGGATGTCCCTTTGGGATTCTGGGCATATTGTTCCTGGGATTGGTGGAATGGAGGATGCTGTTACTTGTGCACTGTTGAACTCAGTGTGAACTACAGTCTGAGGTCCTGAAATCGCTGTCTCCTTAAATCCAACACAGAAGTAGCAAACACCACCTGTTTAGTTTATTTCTCTGCCCAAGGGTCTGACTTGGGCAGTGCTGGCAGGGATTGTAAACCCAGCCCTTGCCATGGCTGAATGAGGTCTCGGATCCTCAAAGAGGCCAGTTTCCAAATTTGTGAAATGGGGAAGTGATCTCCATTTCATTGATTCATTCACTCATTCCAGCATTTGTTTTGTGCTGGGCCCTGAGTTAGATTCAGAGGTGGACAGGGCATGGACCCGCTTATGGAATCTCCTCTCCTAGGGGAGACAAGACTGGTGCACAGACATTTACAGAATATGTGCTCACAAGCAGCAATGAGTATTTTTATATGGGGGTATGGTGACACAGAGCACGTGTGCCTCGTTCTGGTGAGAAAAAACTTTGAGGAAATAACCTGAGTTTTGAAGTGCAAACATTAGTTTTCTAGGGTAGTGTCCTGGACCAGCAGAGCAGTATCACATACGAACTCACTAGAAACGCAAAATTCTCAGGCTCGCTCAAACCTACTAAATCAGAAACTCTGGGGGCAGGGGAAGGGGCAGCCATCTATATGATTTTGATGCACATTCAAGTTTGAGAGCCTCTGGCCTACGTTAGAGGCCAGATCATAAAACCATTATATGCTGGAGGACAGCTACTGTAGTTAGAAAAAGAGCACTTTTCTGAAGGATTGATGGTCAACTGATTCAAGTCTTTGTGGAAGAATGCTCTCAAGTCACTGATGCAGATCCAGGAAGTTGAGGCTTTAGAAGAGCCCTCGGGGCTTCCCTGGTGGTGCAGTGGTTAAGAATCCGCCTGCCAATGCAGGGGATGCAGGTTCGAGCCCTGGTCCGGGAAGATCCCACATGCCGCGGAGCAACTAAGACCGTGCACCACAACTACTGAGCCTGCGCTCTAGAGCCCTCGAGCCACAACTCCTGAAGCCCGCACACCTAGAGCCCGTGCTCCGCAACGAGAGAAGCCACTGCAATGAGAGGCCTGCGCACCGCAACGAGGAGTAAGCCCCCACTCGCCACAACTAGAGAAAGCCCACGCGCAGCAACGAAGACCAATGCAGCCAAAAATAAATAAAATAAATTAAAAATAAATAAATAGGGCTTCCCTGGTGGTGCAGTGGTTAAGAGTCCGCCTGCCGATGCAGGGGACGCGGGTTCATGCCCCGGTCTGGGAAGATCCCACATGCTGTGGAGCGGCTGGGCCCGTGAGCCATGGCCACTGAGCCTGCGCGTCCGGAGCCTGTGCTCCGCAACGGGAGAGGCCACAACAGTGAGAGGCCCGCGTACCGCAAAAAAAGAAAAGAAAAGAAAAGAAAAATAAATAAATAAATAGCGAGCCATGGAATGCCACTAAGTCCCCCGACAAAGACCAATTCTGTTTTTTTTTGCCTAACATTCCACAGTGAGAGGAGGCCTGGGCACCTTTGTCTTCATGGTAGCACTATCAGTCCCAGTTAGAAGCATGGAGTTACTTAACAAAAAGGTCATTAGCTTCAGATTCTAGGTTCATTGGCCCAAGAGAAATGTGCAAGCACACTTCACCTTTTCCACCTTAAGGCAGAACACTAGCCCTTGGGTTTGGTAGGTCCCAACTCAGGGTGGCTTTGAAGCCCAGCAAATAGGTTGGGAAATGACTTTATCGATTCCCATGTGTCTCTCTCCCTTTATAGGTGGTTTTTCTCCTCTGTGCCTATGTCACGGTGTACATGATCTATGGCAAATTCCGGAAAACATTTGACAGCGAGAATGACACATTCCGCCTGGAGTTTCTTCTGGTCCCAGTCATTGGCCTCTCCTTCCTTGAAAACTACAGTTTCACTCCTCTGGAGGTAAGGGAAGGGACCCAGACAGAGTACTAATTCCCAAAGGTAAACACACTCCCTAAAGTCCTTACCTCTGGACCCTTGGTAACATCTGGTCTACCTTTCTGCCACAACCATAGCCATTATTACTCTTGTATTATTGTTACAAGTTTAGAAATTGCCAATAAGCTATTGACAGTGCTCCTCTTGAAAATGGGCACATTTAAATAGTCGTGTTCATAAACAAAGCAGGCATCACAGCACCACTTAAGACTAAGACCCTCTGGCCAACTGGTGATTAGTGGATATTAGAGCACAGTCCAGACCCAGATTTCAGCTCAGGTCTGGCCTCTGACCCAAGAATCTTTGGGGCAACAAGCATCTGAGGAGATTCTGATGCTGGTGTTCATCGATTCCATTTTGAGAAAGCACAGCCTCAATTAAATCAAGTTTGTATGACAGAATTCTGCAACAATTAAAAATTATGTTCTATAGCAACGTTCATGCTTGTGAAAAAAGCAGTACGCTTGAATCTCTGAAAAATATTTTTTATGTACAGAGAAAGGGGTGGAATGATACACTGATGAAAATCAAAATTTCAAGAACATGATTCTGGGAGCTCCCTGGCGGACTAATGGTTAGGGTTCTGGCTTTCACTGCTGTGGCCCGGGTTCAGTCCCTGGTTGGGGAACTGAGGTTCTGCAAGCCACGCGGAGCAGCAAATAAATAAGACCTGAATAAATGGTGAACTAGTTGATCTTAAAAAAAATTCTCTTTTGCCTCACTGTATTCTCTCCAATAAGCATATTTTAGTAACTAAATTCTAAAGATGGCCCCTTCTTGACCAGCCTCCTCTGGCTGCTTCTCTCTTTGGCTCAGATCCTCTGGACTTTCTCTATCTACCTGGAATCAGTGGCCATCCTGCCCCAGCTCTTCATGATCAGCAAGACTGGAGAGGCTGAGACCATTACTACTCATTACCTGTTCTTTCTTGGGCTATACCGGGCCCTCTACTTGGCTAACTGGGTCAGGCGGTACCAGACTGAGAATTTCTACGACCAAATCGCAGTGGTGTCTGGGGTAGTGCAGACCATCTTCTACTGTGACTTCTTCTACTTGTATGTGACCAAAGGTAGGTGCTGCGAGCCCAGTGCAGCTGGCACTGTCTCAGTTACCAATCCACTCAATGTTTGAGGGGATATGGAAGTGAACAGAGGCAAGTCTGTGTGCCCCTCATGGTGCTTACATTCTAACATGGGAAGACAAATGTTTTCAGGAAACTCTGTGCCATGAAAAAATACAGACCAGTAGGATATTTTAGGTACTATGCAGTGTACAGGGAAGACGGCTGTGAGATAACATTTGACAAAATACTTGGGTTAGGAAAATATAGGACAAATACATTCCAGAGAGAACAGCTTACGTGTAAGCCCCAAGGCAGGAACCAGCTTGGTATGATAAAGGACAAAATGGCTAGTACAGTCAACTGTAAACCTAGATATGGCAGGTCAACCAAGATTAATCACCTAGGGCCTCAGTTAAGTCAGGGTAAGGCATTCACATTGCATTCTAACCACAAACGGCAGCAACTGGGGTCTTCTGAAAACCAATCCACCAGCTGCTGTGTAGGGTAAAAAGCAGCCAAAGCAGGGAGATGTTCTGGAGCAGCTGGAATTGGCCAGGAGGTGGTCATCAGTGGAAAGAGACAGGGACATTTCTCGAGAGTGGAGCTGAAAGGAACTGTCAGTGCACTGGGTGTGAGGTATGAAATAAAGAAATTGAGAACAACTGCTAGATTCATGGCCTGCCAAGAGGGAGTGGTGGCATCAGTGTCCAAGATGGGGTCAGTGAACCTGTAGTTAAACCTGCAGAGATGTTTCCCCTTGGCTTTAACATCTGAACACATACTGTGAAACAGGCATTAGATACTAAGATTATGCACAAAGTTTTGGAGTCCTTTCATGATAGATACTAATTTCAGTCATTTTCTTCTAGTCCTTAAAGGAAAGAAGTTAAGTCTTCCAATGCCAATTTGAAGGTCCTCAGAGATGTTCTACACCTTAACATGGACACGAAGCAAACTATTTGAAGTGTTCTCCTGGTGACTTTTACATGACTGAGACCAAATGTTAAAACTGAAGTCAGAAAAATGCTTAGTGTGGAATTCAGCAAAGCACTGATCATTCTATCTAGAAGACCTTCTCATCAGTATCTCCCTTAAATTATAGAGGTAATTAAAACTTGGGCCAATTACATAAGTATGGTACCCTCACAATGTCAACTGGACCATCATAAAAACCTTAGGTGTTTAACCCATGAATGGATCAAGTCAACTGTTGCTCTCTAAGGCCCTAGTGTGAGACTCATGCTAAGGAACAGCCAATCCCAATCTGGAAATATACCCTGCTGTGTTATAAGGCAAAAGCCCCAAATGAAGATCACAGACAGTCCTAAGTATTAGGAGTGTACTGTTGTGATTAATTTTCACTTTCCAGGTAGGAGACCATCAAGTTTAGGGAGTCAAGATACAGAGGTGATATGACAGGTGGGAAATGTTATGAGGAAACAAATACCCCAGGCTTTACCTACTAGGTACTGTCTTGTTGCTCTCAAATTTTCACACTAAGAACAATTAATCCCACCCCCCCTTTCACATCTTTAGGTGCTAAGGTGTTAGTCAATCAACATGGTCTTGAAGCAAATAAAAACTCTTAAGAGACTGTCACTGGCCTGTAGTCAGAATTTTTTAAGCAATAAAAATCTCACACCTTATTGTCAAGTGTTTTATTTATACCTACAAAAGAAACAAGATGGTATCAAAAGGACAATTTACAAACTAAGAATAGTAACATAAGCTCTTAAGCTCTTAGCATCCTGTGCCTGAACATCATACATCTACAAATCTTTCAAGTCTTAATGCAACAGGAATGTGTTCAGAAACCAGCAAGGACATAAATAGAGAGAGCACTGATCCCAAGCAAAAGCCACCAACCTTTTAGATGAGAGAAGTCCACACAATGAATTGTTAGGGAGGGACTGGGGAGAAGCAGCCCCACAGCTTAATATAGAAATCCTTTCCCTAAATGAGTTTCAATCATGAGTACAATAATTAGCATCAAATGAGGATTCTTCTGCTCACATTCTGAAGCAAAGGCAGAACCTGAATTAGGAGTGGCAGACAGAGAGGCAGAAGACTTAACTCTGGAGCTATATGGGAAAAACGATTAGATTTCAGCTGTGCTCAGGCCACAATAGCTTTTGAGTTTTGGGATATGCTGTTATTTTGACTTTATGATTACAACATCCCCGGTGGAAAAAGGAAAGCAAGTAGCAGACCAAATACTGCTTGCTTGCCCAGAGACCTTTCCCGCAAAAGGATGCTTTCAAGACTTGCAAGAGAGTAGGACACGCCCTGTGGTGGCACCTTTGTGTTAAAAAAAAACAAAAAACAAAAAACCAGAATTTTGGTGTAGAAAAAGAATGCCTATAATGGACTAATCAGTGCTTAGACGAACTTTTTTTTGGGGGGCGGGGGACACTTTGGTTTGAAAGCACAGAGCGGTGTTGCCATGTTTTTCCTGTGCCTACCATCCTCCCTCAGCCTCAACTTCTATAAGGAAGAGAAAAAGAAGTTAAGAAAGAAGAAAGTGGCGGGGGTGGGGGGAGATATCAAAGTTCTCACATGCATACATTTCAGCTTATGCTGACAACCTACCTGTATGTCGCACATTCAACAACACTTTCAGTACCCCTCAGAAACAATCCCTTCTCTCTCCCTGAAGAATTTTAAGAGGAAAACAAAAACCTCAAGTATTTAGATATTTTGATCTTACAAACCAGCAAGCAATCTCAGGCCTAAGCCAAAGAATGCAGTGGAGGCTCCGCCCTTTAACTACACTGTGAATGAACAATATCAATAACAGTATTAAAAAATTAAGTCCCACACTAGATACGAAGAGATTTCTGAGGCTGTCTGATCTCCCTGTCCTGTTACAGTGAACACAAGAGCAGAAAATTCTTTCCAGGCCCATCTGCTATATGAAGTCTCAGTAAAACGGTTGGTTTTGAAGGGGACAATCTCACCTACCTTTCAGGTGGAGGAAAAGTAAAAGGACTTGGACTTTAGTCCTCTGTAACTTTTCTTAAGCACTACCTACCTGTAAAAAGCTGAGTGCAAAAGGATGCTGAGGAAAATCTGCACCCAAAAGCTGTTACAAAGCACTGCAGAGAACAGGATTATGAAGAGAGTAAGAGTTCTTAATAAACCCTTAAGACCCTTCAAGATAACTTGGCCAAAAGGGCTGAGTAGCTGGCAAAGGGTTGCTTTTACTCTAGCTCTACAAATACTGAGTTTAAAAAGAAAACCTGCCCACGGAGTATACTGTTTATAATTAAACGTGGTTCTCACTCTGCAGGTGAATGCATATTTAACTGGTTCATAAATTTCCAATGAGCATTTATGTTCATTCTGCTCACAGCAGCTGTCTGGTTGGAAAATGAATTTCACAGATGGTCCCTGGTAATACGGGGAAGAAAAATAGGCAGCTTCCACCCAGATGCTGAGATGCTACATTTAACCATGACAATAAACATTTGGGGTTTTTAATTTAAAGGATACACTTAAAAAAACTCAAGACTCAGCAATTTAATTTCTAACCTGACAACTAAAATGGTTATTTTTCAGTAATTGGGAAGGGGGAAGGCAGAGTGTAAGGGAAACAAAGCCAATTAGGAATTTTTAAAAAAACTGTCAAATGCACTTAACAAGCAATCAGCCAAAATGACAATGGCAAAGCACTGTCTTAACTCATCAGGCCTGAGGAACCCTGTTCCAGCTTGAAAAAACATTAAAAAGCATTACAGAAAATGTGCAGGGAACTCCCTCTTGGTTTTCTATTCCAGTAACGAGAGCAATTTAAAGCACAGATGCCGTCTTCTTCTGCAGAATTCAACCCTCTCCCCCCCCCCCCCCCGCCCGACCGCAACTCAGGACAACAAAAAATGGGCTCCCGCAAAAGGGTCTAACACCTTACTTTTTCTTTTAAAGATGAAAAATAGCTCAAACATCCTCAACATGCAAGAAGTTGGGGGGAAAAAAATCTCTTCCAGTCAGCTATACATATATATATACTTTTACAAAATCTGTTATTACAGACTGGATCATTTTGGCAGGCAGAAAAAACCTGGCAGTGAATTCTAACTAATCTGCATGAAAGACAAATCACAATGGTTGGGAAAAAAAATTTAAAAAGAAAAAGAAAGAAAAAGGGAAGAAGAAAAAAAGGAAAAGATAGCGTTCCTTTAAATGTAGTTAAGTCTGCACAAGTCACTACCACCTGAGTGGCTTCATTTACGTGAAGGAGGAGGGGGAGGAGGAGGGGGTGGGTACTGGTAGGCAGTCTGCCCCATGTAACCTATCATATTGGTAGCTCCCGGAGGCTGTGCAAACTGTTGTGACATCAGTGGCTGTGGCTGCTGCCCAGACCGGCCCATCCCACTAAACTGCTGGCTAGAGCTCTGTGAACTTCTCCCAGTTGAGGTGGTGCTACTGGCCCCATAAGTGCCAGCACCATATTCTTGGGCTGTGTAACCACTTGTGCCATAAGCAGCTGCCCCATAGGTGCCTTGACCATAGGTGTATTGGCCTGCTTGTGCTCCAAAGGCAGAATTTGGACTTCCATAGCCACTACCGTTAGCATAACCGGCTCTATCGGTTTCGCCACGATCCCGATAGCTTGCAGAGTCTCTCCGGCCACCATCTTTGACCCCTCGAAGCCTCCGGTCACACTCATCCTGATACATCAGATTGGGATTGTTGGCTGAAGAAGTGGTCCGGTATCGAGAACGACCTCCTGATGAGGACACAAGGAATTTTCAATACTACATATATGATCCAAACATAACCCCATGTAAAATGCTACCCAGTACAAAAGTATTCAATATTCTTTCTTGATCTTTAATTAAGCGCCAGGCCAGCTTCCAAATCAGCACTTTATACTCAAAAGAATAGTAAACATTATTAAAGGATATTCAACTTCTCACCTTTTAGGCCCTTTCTTTGAGGATTACCAAGAAACACACTCTTAAAAATGTAAGAAAAATGGTAAGGATGGTTTAAAAAACAAAACAAGGCATGCAGCTAAGTTCATACGACCATGAAGGGATCCTCTATTAGTGCACACTGGTTCTCAAATGTTGCTTTGCACACCTAACTGCATCAGAATCATCTCACAAGTTTTAGAGGAAAAGTTCAGGTTTCTAGCTCAATTCCAAACCCACT